CGGGGGGGGGGGGTTGCTGGGTTTTTTGTTACTTTTTTTTTTTACTCAATACTGTTACTCAAGACAGCTATCTAGTTTACTGGTTTTACTCCTATGAACACTGCAGAATTTGCAGTTTATTCAGAATAAGCTGAATTCCATTCTGGTACGTACATCACCAAGAGAATGATTTACAAGCAACTTGGTATTAAAAGACATGGAGTGCATAGGTCCCAGGAGAGGAAAGTGCTTCAATATGGGCTTACACAGTTAAAGTTTCCACTAAATCCTGCATAAAGCTTGGCTGGATTAGATCAGCATTTTGCTTCAACAAACCCTACAATCATAGTTCAAAATTTGTATCTTCTGTGTCACATACAAATTAGGGCTTAGCCTTCACATTTTAGAATGAAGCTGCAAAGCCAGAGCTTTGGAAAAAAGTAGTTTTGTGTTACCAAAGCAGACTAGATCTGAAGGCTTTTGACACAGAAGGATGAAACCTGTAATACTGCCTCTGTAAATTATATTCAGAAATACACTGATTTATCCTGAGATCCATGTTCCACATTACTTCATGATACATCTAACTGCCCATACATAATTGTTTAGGGATATAAGACTCTTCCACAATTACCTACAGAAGGGTGTAAAACTGATTGTCATAAAGACATTTAAAACCCATGAATAAATGATCCACTTTAACATACCTTATTACTCCACGATACATAATATAGCTACACCATCTGTCATGATCTGTACTGTCAATATCCTACGAGTGAAAAGAAAAAGTAAAAAGCCAAACCAATAAGGCAAGCTCTCCTTATGGGTAGGCTTTAAATTGGTAACAGAGCCAATGTGTAAACCTGCTGCAGAAAAAATGTTTTGCCTAAAACATTTTAATAAGGTAGAAAGGAAAAAACCCACTGTTAGACAAATCAGACAAGTTTTTGACATCTCCTGACAGAAAACCAAACTGCAGAACTCAGTTTTAAAACAAAAGAATGACAGAATTAGAGGCTGGAAGGGACATCTGGAGGTCACCCACTCCCAACCCCATGCTCAAAGTAATTTCAAGCAGGTTGCTTAGGGTCTTATGTAGACAACTTTTGAATATCTCCAAGGATGGAGATTTCACAACTTCTCTGGGACCCTGTTCTAATGCTTAACAACCCTAACTGTGGTTTTTGGTTTTTTCTTCTACTATCTAATTGACATTTCCCTTGTGGTGACTGCTGTCCATTGCCTCTTATCCTTTCACTGTGTAACTCCACCTTCTCTGTAACATGTCAGGTAGCTGAAGGCTGTAGTTGAAAATGTGCATGTGTTTTCTTATATGCCTAAGTTACCAATTTGAAATATTAAGCTGAGTGTTTCAAATATATATTATCTCTAACTGCTAAAAGAAGCAGTATTTTTACATTACCTGGACACTTCCATTTTCTATTAATTCAATATAATCTCTGGATCCAGGAGCTGAGGTGATGTATCCTAGAAATACAACTTGCTTAGAGCTAGTCTTCAATAGGTTTGAAACAGCTATAGCCTGGAGTTTTCTGTCCAAGTCCTCTCTGAAAGAAATAGGAAAGACTCTAATATATACCCATTTTAGCTCAGAATCTTTGTGCTATAACATAGTAAACCGCAAACGAATCTGACACCTTTTTCATTGCTCAGTGTCAGAGAGTATGAAAGTTTACAGAAAGCTCACTGATTCAAAATGATCACTGTGTTCAATAAAAGCCACATGGTTGTGGTAGACATAATTAGGTTTCTCTTTCTAACCATTATAGGAACAACTTTTTCTATTATTGTTTTGTTTTTAATACTGATCTCATCACTAGGAAACGTGCTTGGTTATCTGAGGCTTTGCCTCTGCCTGCACTTGAAATTTAATTGTGCTAGCACAGAGTGGTGCGTAACAAAGAGCTCACAAGCTACCAAAACTTTTATGATGGACAGATCACGGTAAATATAGTCTTAAAGTCTGGGTCACATAATTTATGAAATATAACTTAAGAGCTATGTCATCCCATTAACACTAGTTAACGACATTTGGCAGGTATTCTGCATCTCTAACAAGATTTACACAACAGTTTCAACTTGACCAGAAGTGATGATGTAAGTGGAGCCTGGTAAAATACTGTATTGGATCCCATTCCCTGTCCTTGGATTTGTCATAACATAATGTAAAGGCAGTTCTCTATGATTCTCCATGTTAATAACTTTAAACAGTTGTGCAAAGCATGTTCTCTTCTATATTTTGGTAGAGCGGGCTAAATACCATCGAGACAAGGAGTTGATTTTGGTATCTGTAATCCCAAAAGACGACAAGAATTTAAATGCTGCTATGCTTTCTAAATAGCAGTACTTCTGACCAAAGCAAATGCATCAGGGAGAAAGAGCACGCAGACAGGAGACAAAAAATCCCCAACCATTTCAACAGAAGCCTGACCTAGGTATATGTGAAGTTGCAGGCTTAGCTAGCTGCCGTTTCCAGAACTACACCTCTCCAGAAGGTGTGTTGTTTTTTTTTTTTTTTAAATGACACAGGCATTGTTATATTCCCACATTTTAAAAACAGTCTTTAAAAAAAAATCCCTAGTTATCCAGTATTCTATAGCTTATGTCAGCAGATGAAAAAAAGATGAAAAACAAGCAGTTGTGTGTGCCATTTAATTACAAATTCATTCACCTCCAAACACAATCTAATTTGCACTCGTTTCCCATGAGTCTCCTCCTATTTTCTCCTTCATCTTTATCTCACCACTCTCTGAGGGGGGAATACAGTGCTGTTTTCTTCCACTTTGACAAATGTCCTCAGAGAGGCAAGTCTAATCATCTGTGTGAGGCAGAGAATGAAATTCCTTTCTAGAGTTCAGACTGGGAGTGGTTTCTGGCAACTATATGTGTTTAGTAAAAGGGAAACCTATAAACAATTTGCACGCTTAGAGCACAGCTTCTGCACAGGGGAAGGAAATGGGGAAGCTCAGTATGAAATAATGAGAATTCCTACTGCTTTCTGAGCACCTTCTTTGTGTATTATATTCTGCATCCAGTCCATAATTTTGCCTCTCCATGAATTATAACAAATATTAAAAAAAGTCCAAATCTTACTACATAACCACAAACATACTAGATATTGCAGCAAATAAAACAGAAAATACAGCTACACGGAGCATCACAAAACTATCCCTTTTTAATATTCATTACACACAAGTAATCAAGACATTGTTTTAAAATAAAGAACTGAAATCTTTTCCATCACATATTTGAGTTATTGGTGTAATTCTTCCTTTCAGAACCCAGAGATTAGATTTCATATTTCCAGTTTCATAGAGTCAGAAGGACTCTGGATATTTTTGTTGCTGATTTAACACTGTCATAGAATTCATACAATCATTTAGGTTGGAAAAGACCTTTAAGATCACCAGGTCCAACCATAAACCTAACACTGCCGAGTCCACCACTAAACCATGTCCTCAAGCACCACGTCTACATGACTTACAAATACCTCCAGGCATGGTGTCACCCCCACTCCCCCGGGCAGCCTGTTCCAATGCTTGACAACCCTTTCAGTGAATAAACTTTTCCTAATATCCAATCTAAGCCTCCCCTGGCGCAACTTGAGGCCATTTCCTCTCGTCCTATCGCTTGTTACTTGAGAAGAGAGACGGACCCCCACCTCGCTACAGCCTCCTTTCAGGTAGTTGTAGAGAGCCATAAGGTCTCCCCTCAGCCTCCTCTTCTCCAGACTAAACAACCCCAGTTCCCTCAGCCGCTCGTCATAAGACTTGTGCTCTAGGCCCTTCACCAGCTTCGTTGCTCTTCTGTCCTTTCTTGGAGGTTTCAGAATTGTTAATTTTTATTTCAATACACATCAATTATCCATTAATGCTATCTATCTGTAAGTGTAACCATCTGCACTCATTGTGGAATATAACAGATCTATTCCACATGCAGAAAGTCAGAAGGATGCTATCCTGCACTGAGATGTACCTGTAGCCCTATTAGTTGTTGTGGTTTTGCAGAACTGTATCTTTATATGTCTAGTAAGTCAGATATTAGCTTCAGCTGAGTTTTGCATGACACATTTGTCCCTTTTAAAAAATGCTTCAAAATTTTTAACCAGTAGCTATGTCATAGTATTTCCTCCAATATGCCTTGCTAGAACCAGTATTACAGCAGCAGATTTTAAAGGGTACAAAAGAAATCCCAGAAGCTGACAAATTGCAATTATGTTACCCGCCTTTGCATGACATACGTAACAATAACTAAAATACACACTCTTCATTTCCAAAGTGGGCAACAACAAAATCAACCAGTTTCCCTGTGAAGTTGACAGTCATGGAGATGGCAGGTGCAATCTCTCCCTCTGGAGACGGAAGAAGGTGATGGGTAGATTTTACAATTGGATACCTTGATAGTGCCATAATCCTACATGAAGAGAGGGAAACAGTTACATTTTGCAGTTCACAAGCATCACAAGTGTGAACTAAGCAGATAAATGTGAGCAGAAGACTAATGGTCACTGAACTTAAACCAGCAGACCAGAACACAAACCATTTCTAAAGGATTTTTCTGAGTTTAGAAGGTTTTCCTCTAAAATATTACTTAAGTACATGTCTAAAAATGTATTATCAAATTAATTCCTACACTAAGAAATACCATTCCATATATATGAATTCTTACACTAAGCCTTTCAAAATCTGCATCCTCAGACAAAACAGAATTTTATACTACCAGTTATTAAAATGTATTTTATTAGAAGTAGAAGCAGGTAGAAATACATCTTTAAAGTGGGAGATTTCTCATTCTTTCAGCTTCTATTTGGAATCAACCTTAAAACCATTTTGCATCAGGTTTTTCAAGATATTTCATGAAGAAAGTTTCAGAGAATGACTTTTCTTCCCCATTCTGCATCACTTAAAGACACAGGCTCTGGAAGAGGAAAGTTACTAAATTCCCCTCACACATGGTAAAAATTAAACAGCCATTGCAACATCACTAGGAAGTTCCATCTCCCACAGAGATCTGCATATTCCCCCTGGAAAAAAAGCCACATCATAAGCCACTATTTTCCAGAGGGCAAAGATATTCAAAGATACGCAACTGGTAGTTGGTCAAGCATTAAAGTAAAATCAGACACAAAAAATCTGGTCAAATGTGCCTTTGTATGCCTATTTCCCACTATACGGCCCAAGCTGGATTTAATGAATTCAAAATTTCTAGTAACTCCAGGTGCAGTTACATATTGCAACTGCTACTGCATTTTTAAGTCTGAAATCTAAAGTTCTCATAGTGCAAAACAAAATTATGAGAAAAGCAAATCAGATATAGTACTTAGAATACCAGAATTCCAAATCTGTACATTAAGGGGCAGGATGCCATTCTCTGCATCACCAAAGCCAAAGTAGTTTACAAGGGCAGGCACCAAAACCCGATCATTTTTAACAATGAGAAAACTTCATCTGCATTGCATTGTAATGCTAAGGAATCAAAGCGTGTTCATAAAGACAAGCTCCAACAAGTGATTAGGGTGATTATTATTCCAATTGTTCCTTGCCCACGTTGTAGTGGAGTTAGCATTGGGTCATGTATTTACATTTATTTACTGTCACTGTGCATGTAAGGATGACTCACCCCCAAGTGTGATCTCTTGTGCTTGGACCAAAATCTGTGTAAAATCCTAGTCTTTCTCCTAGCCACATTGTTGGATCGTTGTTCCCAATGAATGGTTTAGAGGCATCACTCTCTATAATAGTGATAAAATCTGCACCTAAAATGGGGAAGAAAAAAGAAAATATTTCCAAATTTATAATTGTGACCTATAAATGTGATATATAAATGAGTCGTAATTTCCCTTTTAATTACACAAGGATGGACACAAGCCCTTCAGGAGTCAATCAGGACAAAATTTCTGCTGGCAACAAAGTCATGCCCAAACTTTCAGTCTCTGTAGGCCACACAGTCTTTGATGGAGAGATACTCAGCGACTGGATGCCATACCTCCTCCCTGGTGCATAATCAGACACACATGAGACTGCACAGTACAGCTGGCCTGCACATACCTAGCGCAGACCATTTCAAAAGCATTAGACATAATGTGCATACACAGATTAACAGCACAGTAGCAAATCTACAGCTTTCAACTTGATGAACAAGCGCTACACAGCACATCTGCACTTACCTTCACCTACCAAATCCTATTCTGCTCCAATGGGTCCTGTGCAAGAGGAAAGAGGTTGCTGCTGCCAAAACAGTTAATCAGCCCATAGCAACCTAGCGTCAGCCCTCAGGCGTGGTAACAAAAGGGTTCCCAGCTCTAGTGAATTGTTGACCATCCACAGCCACCTCAGTTTCTCAGGGCACTGTGGTCCCTCCCTGTTTACATGCTGAGGTGTGGTTTTGTCAGAGGAACACGACAGGTTCCCCTATATTTTAGCTGCAGGCTACAGGAAGAGCTATGCGGTCCCTCAAGGAACTGGCAGCTAAGAAAGACACACCCATGCCTGAAGGAACGTGAGAGCCTGCAAGCTGGCCACAGGGTGGCTGAACCATCCAGGCTCAGCTTGAGCAGCAGGTCGGTGTGGCTGGAGCCCCAACAAGTGCTCCCCCCTTGCTGTGATTTTGGCCCCCCTTGCGGGCTC